ATGATAGTCGTGCTGGATACAGTACCCTTCGTTCAAGGCCCTTCTCTTTCCTTGCATTAAATATATCATGCCATTCTCTTCTGGCCTGTAAGGTTTCTGTTGAGAAGTCTGATGATAGCCTGATGGGTTTTCCTTTGTAGGTGACTCTTTTCTCTCTCTGGCTGTCTTTAATAGTCTCTCCTTGTCGTTGATCTTTGCCATTTTAATTATGTGTCTGGGTGTTGACCTCTTTGGATCCCGTCTCTTGGGAGTTCTGTGTGCCTCCGTAGTCTGAGCAACTATTTCCTCCCCAGTTTGGGGAAGTCCTCAGCAATTATTTCTTCAAAGGCACTTTCTATCCCTTTTTCTCTCTTCTTCCTCTGGTATCCCTATAATGTGGATATTGTTCCTTTTGGATTGGTCACACAGTTCTCTTAATATTCTTTCATTCCTGGAGATCCTTTTATCTCTCTCTGCATCAGCTTCTATGCGTTCCTGTTCTCTAGTTTCTATTCCATCAATGGCCTCTTGCATCTTATCCATTCTGCTTATAAATCCTTCCATATCTTGTTTCACTTCTGTAATCTCCCTCCAGACATCTGTGATCTCCCTCCGGATGTCTATAATCTCCCTCTGGACTTCATCCCTTAGCTCTTGCAATTTCTCTGCAGCTCTGTCAGCATGTTTATGATTTTTATTTTGAATTCTTTTTCAGGGAGACTGGTTAGGTCTGCCTCTGCAGATCCTTTCTCAGGTGTAACTATCTTGGTCTGGACCAGATTTTTTTGCCTTTTCATGGTGATTGTAGCGGCTGTAGGCAGGTTGCGGTTGTGTCAGCTGGGAGAAGAAAGTCCTTTCCTGCTTGCTGGATGCCTTGCCCTTCTCCGCTGCCTGTGACGGCTACCTGCACTCCTGGAGCAGCCACCGGGTTAATCTCCTAAGCTGCTGTGGGCAGCGTGTCCATCAGAGCAGCGTGGAGCTTTGCGGGGAGTGGCAGGCACGCCAGTTGTGCTTCTCTGTGCTAGCAGCGACCCTGCCAGGCAGCTGTGTAACAGCAGCGACCTTTGGGTCTGGCCCGGGCGGCTGTGTGTTGGGCTGGGATTCTGGTCAGCTCCTGGGAGCGCGCCTGCTCCCTCTGGCTCTGCTGCTGGTGCGCATGGGGCTTTTCCGCGCAGGCTTCTACTGGGCTCTGGCTTCACTGCCGCCAGTGCACGCAAGCCGCGTCTGGGCTGTTCGGTCACACCGCTGCCGGCTAGCCCTGTGGCGCATGGATCTGCTCTCGGTTCCTTTTAGCGCTTCCGCCCCTGGCGCACGCTCCCACTGTCCTGCTACTGGGCCTGTGTGTCGGGGTCCGCGCCAGTTGGAGGAACAACTGGCAGGCTGCCTAGTCCTGTGAGGGGCTTCAGAGCTGCACTGCCTCCATTTAGGGCGCCTAAGTTTCCCTGATGTTCCCAGCTGCCGGGACAACTTCATCCAGCTATGGGGTCCCTGTCTCTTTAGGACTTGCAGAAAGCACTTGCTTTTCTTTTGTCTCAGGGGCGCCAGTTGTGGGCACCTGCCCACAGGTTTTGCTTTTACATTTCTCTAATATCCAGCACCCCATGCACCTTGTGTCTGCGTTCCGGGTGCAGATTTCTAGAGCTGGTTGTTTAGCAGTCCTGGGCTTTCACTCCCTCCCCGTTCTGACTCCTTTCTTCCTGCCGGGATTTGGGGTGGAGGAGCATTCGGGTCCCTCCTGGCCACTGCTTGTATCTTACGCCCTTCATGTGATTCTGAGTTCTCGCAGATGTAGATGTATCCTGGCTGTTGTACTGCATCCACTGGTGTCTCTTTTAGGAATAGTTGTATTTATTGTATTTTCAGAAATATATATATTTTGGGGAGGAGATTTCCTCTGAACTACTCACGCCGCCATCTTCCAAATGCTTCATTTTTAATGAATGAATACAATTGCTTCATTTTTAATATCTGTAAAATGGCATCAAATAATAACTACCTTGTGGGCTTATATGGACAACCTGAATTCAATGAGAATAAAACTCTTCTGGATTGCATAATCAGGACAATGGTTAGGTTTCCTCACTCCCTAAATGACCTGATCCTGCTTGCTACCAGGCCAATTCCCTGAAATGCTTGTCTCAAAGATAAGGTCCTCGAAGGTTGGGAGATTATCTTGGTGGAGGCTTCTTTTTAAAGTGTGGCATCTAATACAGCAGATATCATCAATAAATGCTGGCTGCATGGGTGACTGGCCATGGCCAGCATCTGTCTTTCAGAAGCCGAGCTGGGACTATCAACTAAGGTTTCCATCCATTCAGTCACATAGGCTTCCAATCCTTTTTGTAAGGTGTGTTTCCACTAAGTTGAAACTTTGCCATGTAATATCCCTCCTTCTTCACCAAATCTCAATTTATAACTCCTCTAACTTTTAACAGACACCATCACCCTTGAATGCAGAGGTGAACACAGAGTAAGTGATGCCTTTCGACCTAATAGAGGCAAGTAAACAGTTAACAATTATTTAAGGACATGACCATATGGGCCATATCTTTTGTGCAAAAAATGACTCAAAGGTATCATAAACATCATCCAATGCTATGAGCATGGAGAGGGAATAAGAAATACGTGGGTAACATTTGGTAAACACATGGGTCACATATTTAGAAAACACACATGCTGTGTTAACAACTAAGCCAATAAGCAGTAATCACAAAACTGGCAGTGACTCCAATTTCTTTGAAAATATTTCATGTCTTGACAATGAAATCTCTGCTGTAGGATTTATTAAATCAGGTTTTTGTTTTCTTGTTCTTACAGACATTTCCATCACTTTCAAGATTTAGGGAATGAATATAAATGACTCTAATCCTCATCTTCAGTCTAAAGGTCACAGTGACCCAAATCATGCTAAGGAACTTTCATTTGACTAAAAATAATTATCTAAATATCAAATGACAAATTCCTGGCCACATTTAAGTGTGCAAATTGAACTATTTTAAGCAGGCCCAGACCCCTGACAAAAATGGAAAGTAGGACATAGGGTAGCCATTGAGCCATTTGTTAAACTAATAATCTGTAAGTCTGTGGCACATAATTACTGAAGACACTGTGTCTCCTAATGTTAAGTACATTTTAATGGTAGACTGGTCATTTATTTTTAATTTTAAAACATTTTCAACTGAAGTATTATTGACATACAATATTATTGTATTAGTTTCAGGTGTACAACATAGTATACATTATATACATCATAAAATGCTTACCACAATGAATGTAGTTACCATCTGTCCCCATTCAGTTATTACAATATTATTGACTATATTTATTCTCTATGCTGAACTTTTCAGTAAGGGGAGATTCTTGACCACTATGAATTCCAATCACCTTAGTTCATTTGAGAAAATATTTTTTTTGGCAGTGGGCCCTTTACATATATAAGCATTCTACTTATAAGACCAGACCTGATTTTAAAGCATATGATGTAGTTTTTACTTACCCTGCTGTCTCTATATATATCAAACACAACTGTAAAGGAGAAAAAACTCAAAGTTAATGCCAAACTATGATTTTCATGATCTAAGCTACCTTTTGATAAATACTATTAGTTACTTAAACAGTGAATATACTTGATCTTGAGGTCTTCATGCTTATAAATCTCAAAACTTCAAACATAAAAGGGCATCCTGCAATGTTTTATTACATAATTTTGTTTTCATTTTCTCTACCCTCAGCGATAATCCCTTATATTTATAAATGCAAACCAAACTGACATCATCTCAACCAGGTTCGCCATTACAAACAGGCTATATGTAGTAGTTAGTGAAAGGGGCATCAATCACTTTGGTGGGGAATGAAGTGAATACAGTCTGTGATCAGAAAGCATAAAATCTGGCTATGCTTATGGCATGCTTAATCTTTCTTTCAAAATCAAATCTGCCATAGACCTCCACTTTTCAAGCAGAAAAAATGTAAATCATAGCAGATATAATTTTAAGATGCATGAAAACTCTCATAATAATAGAGGCAAGTAAACAGTTAACAATTATTTAAGGACATGACCATATGGGCCATATCTTTTGTGCAAAAAATGACTCAAAGGTATCATAAACATCATCCAATGCTATGAGCATGGAGAGGGAATAAGAAATACGTGGGTAACATTTGGTAAACACATGGGTCACATATTTAGAAAACACACATGCTGTGTTAACAACTAAGCCAATAAGCAGTAATCACAAAACTGGCAGTGACTCCAATTTCTTTGAAAATATTTCATGTCTTGACAATGAAATCTCTGCTGTAGGATTTATTAAATCAGGTTTTTGTTTTCTTGTTCTTACAGACATTTCCATCACTTTCAAGATTTAGGGAATGAATATAAATGACTCTAATCCTCATCTTCAGTCTAAAGGTCACAGTGACCCAAATCATGCTAAGGAACTTTCATTTGACTAAAAATAATTATCTAAATATCAAATGACAAATTCCTGGCCACATTTAAGTGTGCAAATTGAACTATTTTAAGCAGGCCCAGACCCCTGACAAAAATGGAAAGTAGGACATAGGGTAGCCATTGAGCCATTTGTTAAACTAATAATCTGTAAGTCTGTGGCACATAATTACTGAAGACACTGTGTCTCCTAATGTTAAGTACATTTTAATGGTAGACTGGTCATTTATTTTTAATTTTAAAACATTTTCAACTGAAGTATTATTGACATACAATATTATTGTATTAGTTTCAGGTGTACAACATAGTATACATTATATACATCATAAAATGCTTACCACAATGAATGTAGTTACCATCTGTCCCCATTCAGTTATTACAATATTATTGACTATATTTATTCTCTATGCTGAACTTTTCAGTAAGGGGAGATTCTTGACCACTATGAATTCCAATCACCTTAGTTCATTTGAGAAAATATTTTTTTTGGCAGTGGGCCCTTTACATATATAAGCATTCTACTTATAAGACCAGACCTGATTTTAAAGCATATGATGTAGTTTTTACTTACCCTGCTGTCTCTATATATATCAAACACAACTGTAAAGGAGAAAAAACTCAAAGTTAATGCCAAACTATGATTTTCATGATCTAAGCTACCTTTTGATAAATACTATTAGTTACTTAAACAGTGAATATACTTGATCTTGAGGTCTTCATGCTTATAAATCTCAAAACTTCAAACATAAAAGGGCATCCTGCAATGTTTTATTACATAATTTTGTTTTCATTTTCTCTACCCTCAGCGATAATCCCTTATATTTATAAATGCAAACCAAACTGACATCATCTCAACCAGGTTCGCCATTACAAACAGGCTATATGTAGTAGTTAGTGAAAGGGGCATCAATCACTTTGGTGGGGAATGAAGTGAATACAGTCTGTGATCAGAAAGCATAAAATCTGGCTATGCTTATGGCATGCTTAATCTTTCTTTCAAAATCAAATCTGCCATAGACCTCCACTTTTCAAGCAGAAAAAATGTAAATCATAGCAGATATAATTTTAAGATGCATGAAAACTCTCATATAATATACTTTTAATTCTTAAAAACATCTCATAAATGTTTACTTTGTAATTGATGTTATCTGATCATTCAAATAAAAAATCTAGATAGATCAGTCAGCTAGCTAATCTAATCCTAAGAACAGTAGCATTTTATTCTCTGCTGATGGACTCTTCGAAATGTGTGATAACTGTCTCAGTATTAAAAAGGAACTCTCGTTGATTAAATATAAATTAATATACAAAAAAAAACCTATCAGCAATACCAAATAGCAATATAGTAAAACGCTTAAAATACAGTGTTTCAAATTGTTTTAAAATATGCACCACCAACCCTAAAGTAAGATTCAGTAACATTATATATATATTTCATTTCATTTCACTAGGTCAATAAAAAGTACTCACAGTCTTCATCTAAGAATTTATACTGTATGTGTTTCTTGAAAAAGTCTTGTATGCACCTGCAAATCTCTTCCTTTTGTTTAGAAATATGATCATAGTATTGTGTGTAGTCCCTTTGAGAAATACCTGATAAAAAAATGTTACATTCCATTATTATGTAATATTATTTTCAAAAACATCAAAATGTGCTTGAAACTTCTTCTATGAAAGAACCATTAAAGTGGGTCAGAAGACCAACCAGATGAATATTGCCACATTATATACAGAAAGAAAACTTAGCAGTTGTAGAGGTCTGTCTGGATAGGTGAATTCTAAAGTTCCATTTTCTTACTTTAGAAACAGTAGTTATTTTTACTTAGTACAATGGGAAGAATTCAAAGCTGTAAAAATGCTTGTTACGTAAAAACTGAAAAAAGCAATTTTAAGCCTGCACACTTAGTCAACTGCTGCTTTGATTTTTCCAATGAACTTTTCACCAATTGGTATTTTCCACTTTCTTAGGGAAAATTTAAAATATTCCTCACCATTATGACTCCCACATTAATATTGTACTTCAGAGAACAGCATGTTTTTCTTGTTCATATGTGCTACCCTGCCTTCACAAGCCTGATGTTTTAAGCCATGGAAAACAAACATTTCTATCTTCAGAGTGACTTGTTGACATTACTCCAAATGCTCTAAAGGGACTACTGTAAAACACCCTTGATTTGCCCTAGGCCTAGGAAAACGTTTTCTGCTCTGAAAGTAGGGCTTCCATCCAGATTCTTAATCGCATGCCAACATGTCTCCCTTCTTCAGCTGTGCTTACATGATGTTTTCATGAATACTTAACAATATAAATTCAAACACCCCAAGTTTCTTCTAGGTAAATTAATACATGTCAACATCACATTCAATAAATAAATAGTGTTGACTTGATTCTGTTCTAATTACACTTTTCTTGGTTAAAGATAAATTTCACTTCATGGAAAATGTGCATAAACCAAAAACAATAGCAAATTTTCTTCACTATTTAACTTGTATAAATATAAACCAACAAAATAGTAACATGAGAGGAAAGAAAATGGATGACTTTTAAATTATGCACTTACTTGTCCATATATTTTCTCTTGCTAGAATAATAAACAGTGTTCCAATAATAGAAAAAAGTTTCAAAAACTTGGCTTTTTATCTTACTTAAAATAAATTGTGTTTAGCTTTAATAGTTAAGAAAGTCCCAGAAAGTAAGCAGGTAATATTATGCATATCCTAACTTGGGAATGATAAAGACCATCATTTTCAGCTTTGGACTCCAGACAGACATGATTAATGCACAAGACTACTTGCCATGGAAACTGAATATGACCTCAGGATCCTCATCAGTATAGCATTCTAGAAAGTCAGTACCACTTGGTTAGAAGTAGCATCTGAGATAAAAACTGAATGTTACCCCCATCTTAACTACTAGAAACTTACTTACATCAAAAGCTTGTTTTCTTTTAATGATTACTTTCAAGGAAAAAAAAACTCACCAATAAGCTTGTTTTCTTTGACAAAACATCGGAACTCAGCCCCAGGAATTAATTCACACCATTTTCTAAGAACAAGCTGCAGGAAAGGAGAAAAGGAGAAAATAACACAACTACGTAACAAGGGAATGTTTCCTAGTCTTACAATTTTCTGTCAAGACCTTATCTTAACAACTGTCATTATCAAGCGGTTATTTTTAAAAAGGAATCATAAAACATCCCTGACACAAGATATAGGGAACAGAGCTATGGTCTTATTAGTCTAATAAGCACGGGAAGTTGTGTTAAAACTGCTTATGACAAAAATGCATCTTTGTCATTTATTCATCATTTTGAGAGTTCTGACATAATTTACAACTTCAAGGATGATGAAGTCGAATCTTTTCATGGTGCCACAAGTAGCCCTTCTTAATTCATGTTCTTTGCCCCTTTAAGAACATCAAAAAATAAAATAATTTCAAAGTTACCTACCTTAAGTACCATACTTAACTCTGACAAAATTATTATGGTCTGTCACAAAGAATTACTATAACCCTTCCACGACTTTCCCATTATTTTAAAGTAAAATGCTTCTACCAATGGCCCAAGTCATAAATGGATCTTATTCCTGTAATTAATTATTTAATATATGCAAATTCTCATATACTATTGAATTGCTACAATTTTATAAACAGTACAGTTGACAAATGTATGCTTCTGAGTCTGTTTTCAAAATATTCTCTAGGGAAAACTTAATTCTGTTCTTTTGAAGTATTAACTGTGATAAGCGGTGATGTCTCCAGCTTCCCTATGTGGTCTTACACCTATTTACCCTCCACATTTTGAGACAGAATCTGAATTACTCTAGGCTCCATTTCCAGAATCCCTCAGGGGGCTCCGTACCCTCCCTTCCCATAGTTTCTTGTGCATAGTAAGCACATACACACCATGTTTTACTACAGTCATTTGATAAAGTCTCTCTTCCCTTCTTAATAGTAACTAAGGGCATGGACCTGAGTCTTAATTATCTTTGTGTCCCCAGCACAAGTATATAATACCTAGCTGGTCCTTAAGAAATGTCAGTGAAAAAGCAAATATATAAGATAAGCAACCACTAAAAATTATGATTAAAAAAATATTTAATGAACTTGTAAAATACACTATGTTGTATGTGGAAAAAAAAGGTATGCAAATTATCTAATGAAGAGAGATTGTGTGTACACACACACACACACACACACACATACACACACACACCTCAAGAAAGGGAAGTTAAAGGCCAAAATGTTAATACTGAGGAGGACATATCTGGGTGTAGGTTCCTCATATTTTCTTATACTGTTAGATTTTTTATAGTAAGTTGCTTTTCTTTAAAAAAAAATTTTGTACTGTTAAAATATGCCTTACAAATTAAAAATGCACTGATGTCAATTTCCATTATTTTGAGCTCTTGGTCAAGTCCACCTAATTCTGTATTTGCCATATTTCTAAAAAGGACCTAATTATTAAATGAAGAACTAAAAAAATTATACTACTGCTATCTATTAAAAGCCAGTGCTGGCAAATAATTTTTTTAATGATTACAGTAATTTTTATTTAAGCAACAAAGAAATAAGCAATTGTTGCAAACTCCCATTAACTTTTTGGAAAATGTGCATAACCTTTACTTAAATAATGTTTTAGAAAGGTAATACATACATTGTGTGAAAAAATACAAAGGGTAAAAGGTGGATCTTTTTTTTTAACCACCCCAGGGCTGTCCCTCTGTCTTCCTCAGAGATAACTAGTGCTGTCAATTTCCCATATATCTTTCCAGAAATAATCTATGAATATATGAGCTTGTAGTGTATGTATATGTCTCTTTAAATGCATACAGACAGGCGTACACGATACCTAGGATTCTGCTTGCAACGTTTTCATTTTAATTACTCTAAGAATATCACCTAACGGCTTCTAAAACTGGGTTTTGAACCCTTTTACACTAATATGATGGCATATTCCCCAAAAAGCAGTAAAAGAGCTAACTGCTAGTGAAATATATTTTGGGGACAGATGATGACATCAAATGCCTCAGGGCAAGGTCAGAGAAACAATTTTTTTTTCATTTTTTTTTTCCCAGCACAAAGTAATAAGAATCTGGCAGGTGGTTAATAGATGCTTGCTCAATGAAACAACAGATATGAATATATTATTACATAGAAATAATGTCATAAAAAATGCTGAATGACCTGGGAAAATGTTCATACTATGCTATTTTTTAAAAAAAAGTCTTCACAAATGGTATGTAAAGATCTTAATTACAGATACTAAAAGATTTACTAAGTGTTTGGTGGCCTGGTAAATAGAAAATGAACTGTCCTGCACCCCCAGTACACTCACACAGAACATACACCATTATCTTCCCAACACACTAAAAATTACTTGATACTACAAATCAGTGGACAAATTTTGAAAGCATCTGTATTTACAAAGGTGACTGGAAACAAACAGACAATAAAGACATTTTTAAAAAATTCACTGGACTAACTCTAATCAGTGTTATAAATCCAGTACAAATGTTTTACACTTACAGAGCAGGATGGTTATCCTCTCCTCAACTAACTATGAGCTGTCAATTTCCAAAAGTATTACATTTTAACAATGCAAGTACAAGAAGAACCAGGAGTAATGATAAAGCGAGAGTCTATCATGCATACAGTTGAGATCTAGAGTCAGCATTTAAACGAAAAGTCTGCTCCAGATTCATTACTAACAGCTAAGAGGTTAATTGTATCCAAGAACACTGTGTGTGTGCATATGTGCCTGTGCGCATGGTGTATATACCTTCAAACTAAGAAAATATGGAATAAAAATTTGGGTTCTGCTATGTTTAAATTATTACAATTTCTAACAAAGCCACTATCCTTTTATTCTTACTCCTGCATGTCATTTTTAAAATTAGTGAATATAATAAATAAAAGGTCCTCTGGGCCTAACTGTAAATGGTGTTGACTGTTTTTCCTTATATACCAGGTTCAAAAGTTTACTCAGCTTAAGCTGAATGGTAAGAATAAAGAAGTTTCTGTTACAAAACAAAAGAAGTATAAAATATGTATATTCTGTAGCACAAATATACTATGTATACAGTATGTGTGTGTGTATATATATATATATATATATATGCATATAAAATACATTTTATAACTCAGAAACTTAAAAATCCAATGGTTCTAGGTTCTACAGAAATTAATCCAAAAAAATTTCACTTAAAAATAAATAGCAATTCCCAACACATCTTCATCTAGGATTATTAACTTCATCAATATATAAAAAAAGATTCTTACCTCATATTCGATACAAGGATCTGGGGTGTCATCAGTACAATGAACAAATCTTTGAATCTTATTCCTGTAATTAATTATTTAATATATGCAAATTCTCATATACTATTGAATTGCTACAATTTTATAAACAGTACAGTTGACAAATGTATGCTTCTGAGTCTGTTTTCAAAATATTCTCTAGGGAAAACTTAATTCTGTTCTTTTGAAGTATTAACTGTGATAAGCGGTGATGTCTCCAGCTTCCCTATGTGGTCTTACACCTATTTACCCTCCACATTTTGAGACAGAATCTGAATTACTCTAGGCTCCATTTCCAGAATCCCTCAGGGGGCTCCGTACCCTCCCTTCCCATAGTTTCTTGTGCATAGTAAGCACATACACACCATGTTTTACTACAGTCATTTGATAAAGTCTCTCTTCCCTTCTTAATAGTAACTAAGGGCATGGACCTGAGTCTTAATTATCTTTGTGTCCCCAGCACAAGTATATAATACCTAGCTGGTCCTTAAGAAATGTCAGTGAAAAAGCAAATATATAAGATAAGCAACCACTAAAAATTATGATTAAAAAAATATTTAATGAACTTGTAAAATACACTATGTTGTATGTGGAAAAAAAAGGTATGCAAATTATCTAATGAAGAGAGATTGTGTACACACACACACACACACACACACACACACACATACACACACACACCTCAAGAAAGGGAAGTTAAAGGCCAAAATGTTAATACTGAGGAGGACATATCTGGGTGTAGGTTCCTCATATTTTCTTATACTGTTAGATTTTTTATAGTAAGTTGCTTTTCTTTAAAAAAAAATTTTGTACTGTTAAAATATGCCTTACAAATTAAAAATGCACTGATGTCAATTTCCATTATTTTGAGCTCTTGGTCAAGTCCACCTAATTCTGTATTTGCCATATTTCTAAAAAGGACCTAATTATTAAATGAAGAACTAAAAAAATTATACTACTGCTATCTATTAAAAGCCAGTGCTGGCAAATAATTTTTTTAATGATTACAGTAATTTTTATTTAAGCAACAAAGAAATAAGCAATTGTTGCAAACTCCCATTAACTTTTTGGAAAATGTGCATAACCTTTACTTAAATAATGTTTTAGAAAGGTAATACATACATTGTGTGAAAAAATACAAAGGGTAAAAGGTGGATCTTTTTTTTTAACCACCCCAGGGCTGTCCCTCTGTCTTCCTCAGAGATAACTAGTGCTGTCAATTTCCCATACATCTTTCCAGAAATAATCTATGAATATATGAGCTTGTAGTGTATGTATATGTCTCTTTAAATGCATACAGACAGGCGTACACGATACCTAGGATTCTGCTTGCAACGTTTTCATTTTAATTACTCTAAGAATATCACCTAACGGCTTCTAAAACTGGGTTTTGAACCCTTTTACACTAATATGATGGCATATTCCCCAAAAAGCAGTAAAAGAGCTAACTGCTAGTGAAATATATTTTGGGGACAGATGATGACATCAAATGCCTCAGGGCAAGGTCAGAGAAACAATTTTTTTTTCATTTTTTTTTTCCCAGCACAAAGTAATAAGAATCTGGCAGGTGGTTAATAGATGCTTGCTCAATGAAACAACAGATATGAATATATTATTACATAGAAATAATGTCATAAAAAATGCTGAATGACCTGGGAAAATGTTCATACTATGCTATTTTTTAAAAAAAAGTCTTCACAAATGGTATGTAAAGATCTTAATTACAGATACTAAAAGATTTACTAAGTGTTTGGTGGCCTGGTAAATAGAAAATGAACTGTCCTGCACCCCCAGTACACTCACACAGAACATACACCATTATCTTCCCAACACACTAAAAATTACTTGATACTACAAATCAGTGAACAAATTTTGAAAGCATCTGTATTTACAAAGGTGACTGGAAACAAACAGACAATAAAGACATTTTTAAAAAATTCACTGGACTAACTCTAATCAGTGTTATAAATCCAGTACAAATGTTTTGCACTTACAGAGCAGGATGGTTATCCTCTCCTCAACTAACTATGAGCTGTCAATTTCCAAAAGTATTACATTTTAACAATGCAAGTACAAGAAGAACCAGGAGTAATGATAAAGCGAGAGTCTATCATGCATACAGTTGAGATCTAGAGTCAGCATTTAAACGAAAAGTCTGCTCCAGATTCATTACTAACAGCTAAGAGGTTAATTGTATCCAAGAACACTGTGTGTGTGCATATGTGCCTGTGCGCATGGTGTATATACCTTCAAACTAAGAAAATATGGAATAAAAATTTGGGTTCTGCTATGTTTAAATTATTACAATTTCTAACAAAGCCACTATCCTTTTATTCTTACTCCTGCATGTCATTTTTAAAATTAGTGAATATAATAAATAAAAGGTCCTCTGGGCCTAACTGTAAATGGTGTTGACTGTTTTTCCTTATATACCAGGTTCAAAAGTTTACTCAGCTTAAGCTGAATGGTAAGAATAAAGAAGTTTCTGTTACAAAACAAAAGAAGTATAAAATATGTATATTCTGTAGCACAAATATACTATGTATACAGTATGTGTGTGTGTATATATATATATATATATATATGCATATAAAATACATTTTATAACTCAGAAACTTAAAAATCCAATGGTTCTAGGTTCTACAGAAATTAATCCAAAAAAATTTCACTTAAAAATAAATAGCAATTCCCAACACATCTTCATCTAGGATTATTAACTTCATCAATATATAAAAAAAGATTCTTACCTCATATTCGATACAAGGATCTGGGGTGTCATCAGTACAATGAACAAATCTTTGAGGGTAAAAAAAAGGCAATTTCATCTTTTTTTTATAGTGTCAGTTTATGCACACACATCACTTACATTTAACATAAGAGCAAGGTTTTTACTAAAAGCATCCAGAAATAGGAGAATAATTTAAATTCAACTAACATTTATTAAGCACTATTTGACATCAGGCATTAACCTAGGCCTCCTGAAATGTTATTACTTAGTCCTCAAAATAACTTTATGAGCTACAATAATCTCATTTATAATCTCCATTTCTCTGTCACAAGACAAAAAACTAAGACCCAGAAATGACCAAATTTAATGACCAAGCCAGGACTCTAAGTCAAACTGTCTAGCTCCAGATTCCAAATGAAGGCAGGAAGGTACTGCTGTTTTATGATTCTCATGCTGTTCTTTGGGGCTGAACTAGGAGTCAACTTCACTGCTGACTTAATCTCTGCCATCTTCAACCACACAGTGGTTAATGTGCTTCCCCAATGTGCTATTTAAAAACGTATTTGGTAGAATTACTCATTCCTCCATTAATATTTATTATTTACATTATCTATTTTATATGTAATACTATATAATTATAAAATTAATTATTCCTCCATAATTATGACTTCATTGTTGCTCCCTCCCCCCAAAATATCCTGTTTCATAAACAATTTTTCACATCCTTTAATAAAAAATGCCCACCTATGGCAAGGACTGGCTGGGCACTGGGAATAACAAAATGACCAGGAGCCCCATACCTTTTATGAGGTTAGAACTGGCAGGGAAAGCTTAACAAGCAAAGGGTTTCAAAATGCTGAAAATAAAAATACTCTGCTAGCAGAACGGAAAGCCTGCTTGAGCTCTCTGCTGTGTGCAAGGAAGGGAGTGACAGTCAAGGTGGCTTCATGCAATGAGAAGAGAAGGGTCAAACGGACAGCAAAGGGGAGCCTAGGCAGAGCTAAAGGCAGGCGAAGGCACGGGCACAGAATGCCAGGGGAGAACTGCCAAAGACCACGGTGCAGACAAATGTTGGACAAGGAGGAGCATCCAGATCATGAAGGGCATTGTTTGCCCAACTAGGGAGGTTGTACTTTATTATATCGATACTGGGGAGCTAAAAAAGTTTCTAAATGTGTGAGGGAGATTAGGCTTTAGGAACATCACAATGGCAACGGTCCTGGATAGCATGGGGGAAGGGGTGGCAAGTTGAGTGGTGGAGAGATGAGTTCAAAGGCTGGCTGCAATAGCCCAGGGGAGATGAGGGTCTACTGCAGACAGGGGAGGAGAGGAGACTGTATAAAGATATTTAGGACACAGTCACTATTACTGGGTGACTAAAGTGAGAGGTGAGGCAGAAAAGAGGCCCACGATGACTGGGGTGTCTGGCTGGATGACCAGCTGATAGTGATGGGAATGCCATTCACAAAGAGATGGAAAGCCAGGTGATGTTGGGTGAGGCAAACACAGGACAAGACTATGTCTGCATGTGTGGAGTTGGACACATCGTAGGAGAATCACGTAGAGAAGCAACTGGAAATCAAGAAACTCAAAAGGCAGGGAGGAGTGGGAGATAATTATCCAGAAGTGATCATCGTATGGATATAATAGCTGAAATCAAAGAAGTAATAGAAGCAATCACCTCAGGCTGATGACAGAAGCCCAGGGAATACCAACAAGTAAAAAGTAAGCACAATGTGCTGTCAAAAGACATTTTCATTAAACACACACACACACCCCAAAAATTTCTTTTAAAGATATCTGAAGCAATATACAAGTATAATTGAGTTTGAGGAGCTTTTTAAATTTCCCTGAATATTATTAGGTTGGAATTCTCTACAAGCATTTATGATTTATACTACAAACAATAACAATTCTAATTTATTTGGTTGGCTGAGAAAATAAGCACTTTAATTCCTACAACTGGGCACTGCCTGATATAAATCTGAATTACAAAAAAAGAGACACATAGGACACTTTGTGAAAAGCAGAGGGCTTTCTCTGTATTTTTTTGTATTTTCTCTGTGAACAGGTATCATATGAAACATTTTACATTTGTCATCTCATTTAATCCTTGCAATAGTCCTATACCCACACTTATCACCTGAGGATACCAAGGCTCCAAGAAGTGATAAAATCTTGGGTGGGAGGGCACCCAACCACCTGCTGCCCATTTCTCTCAAGGATGAATGTTGTGCAGCTGTTGTTAAAGCTCTCCAATTTATCTAGTGTTTGTGGGTTCAGTTAGAATCCACAAATACTAG